TGCACATTTGGGTGCATTATGCAAATATTTCCACATAGTGGGGTAGATATGTGGGGGCGTGTTAGAATGAGCCGTTTTAGGGGGGCGTGGCAGAGTCTTAACTTTGATAAAGAATATCTCTTTGGTTTTGAGACTTTAGTCTTTGCAACTTCAAGGATCTTATCTATGCACAATCAGCTTGTAACACTCCAAAGAGAAAGGAAAACTTGAAATCGCATCATATGACCCCTTTAACTTCGGGCCAGATCTCCAGGCTGCAGTTATACCCTTCTTGGTGCATGCACCCGATGAAACCGTCTATATAAAGCTTGAAGCATCAGAATCGGCATTGGTATCGGCCGATCACCATGACAAGAAATCGGTACTCAGTATCGGCTGCAAAAATCCTGATCGGAGCATCCCTATAAAAATGTTATGTTGAACTATAATGTTAATATTTTAAGTGATTACATAATGTTATTCCTTTAAATTTGCGTTATGGAAACGCCATCTAGGGTACATTGTATGCTTACTTTTCTACAGTACCTAGAGTGTTTGCTGGAGGTTGTCCATCTTATCGCCTACAGGTTGAGACTGTTCTGTAATAATATTTGACTTTGATAAGAATCTGTTTGACTTGTGTGTTGTGTGTATTGTCTTTTTTGCTTTAGGCCTGTCTAAAGCAGAGACACAGGCTCTATGCAACTACGGCAGTGGAGAAGATGAAAATGAAGTGGAGGAGATGGAGGAGTTTGAGGCTGGACCTGTTGAGGTGCAAACGTCATTACAAGCCAGCATGGACAACACTAGTGAACACAGCCAGGTGTGTTGGCATTTACACGAGAGAGCCAGTAATCTGATTCAGCTCAGACAAATGACAAACACACTAATAATGACCTGTCGTGTTGTTTCAGGGCTCTGCCTTACGAAACGAAGCCCCCCAGGAAACCAAATCAGACTTAGAAAACTCAGAAAGCAGCCAATGTATGCCTTCTTATACCATTAACATAATTGAGATTTATTGGGGTATTTACACTCCACTCATTGAATTTTGTCTCCCTTTTTCAAACAGTGAAAAACATTAAATCTGAGTCCAAAGACATGTTTCAGCCTCCAGAGGAGGGCAGAGAGGAGGCAAAAACTGGTTCGGTAGATGAAAGACGGGAGGAGGAGGAGGAGGACTGTACTGTTTCTCCAGCCCAGGAAACTCCACAGAGCTCAGATACAGCCAGTCCTGACACAGAGTCTCCAGTCATGATCAACACTGATGTATGTCTCATTCTTCTCAGCAAACATCTTTTATTTGTTCATTTAGAATGGTTTTAAAACATGTATTATATTCCTTTTTTGTTTAACTTTTTATAATAAAGGAGGCGGGATCTGGAAATACCAGCCAGAGATCAGATGAGGAAGATTTTGTGAAGGTTGAGGATCTTCCTCTTCAAATGTCTGTTCTTTGTGAGGTAAGAGCTTGAGTGATCGCTCTCTAATAGGGATGGGGCACGATAGTAAGCTTGACCAGTAAAATTCATGGAAAAAGTTAACCTATTTTTTTTGTTGAATGTCAGTCACCTGCAGTGTAGTAGCCGTGTTTTACATGTCCCTATTTTCTAAAGTGCATAAGAAATCTCCAAAGAGTGCTGGTTTTAAACATTTCCTTTGCTTGTAATTTGTACAGGAAGAGCTTTGTAAGAGGATCTCAGAAGAGCAGCAGAATAATAACTTAACAGCTGAAATTCTGAATGGAAATAAAGAAGAGATTACAGGATTGGTGGGAAATGCTCAAGCACTCAAAGAGCCTGGTAACTATTAAATGTCACTCAAACCATATGCATTGGATATTGATATTACTATGATTTGCTTATCAGCAGATATCCCTGTGATGGATGAAGAAATGTTTCACTCATAATGTAAATCATATCTGTTTTCCAGAAACCATTGGAGCTCAGAGTGCATGAGAATGGTATTTTGATCCATCTTACACTGCAAATCATCATTCATGCAACATTACTGTATAATGAGCTTAATACCTTAAGATTCCTTGGAAACAACAGCTAAGCTAAGTCTTGGTGAATTAGCCTGTCAGCATGTGTGATCTAACAGTTCAAGAGACGTTAAAGAAGTCTCTCTACACTTGTAATCGTTTTATTTGGATTGTTTTATGAAGAATGTAGGAGAGATGTTTTGAAGGGGCTCTGTCTTTAAGCCTGCAAGTACTTTTTCTGTGTTTCTTTGTTCAGCCAGAACTCTCAGTAAAAGCTCCTTCAAATGCTTCGGTTTAAGAGATGCAAATCATTTTTGTGTTCCTATGTTTAGCATGGTTTGGCTTTTGTGTTTGCATTTCTTTCTAGGATTCCTTCCCAGACCGCTATGATTATTTGCCAATGCAATACATAAAGGACAATAGATGTTTTTTTTTTTTCTGATTCAGGACAAAACTTAAGCACATTTTGAAAAAAACTAAACAAAATCCCTATTTAAATGTATTTGACTTGACCCAGAATACATAATGAAATGTGTAATGGATAGAGCAGAATCGCATATTAGCACTGGTACATTATCCTGTCCTTTCTTATTGCACTCTTTTAAATGTTTTCTCTTGCTTTTAATTTTTACCTTTTTTAAGGCATGTTGGCCAATGCTTGGGTTCTCACCCCATTTCATCTCATGTAATTCTCCAATGTTTAGATTATTAAAATAAAACATTGATTTTTACCACTTCATGCAGTGATTGCTCTCTTTATCCCATTTGCACAAAACCTGCTTTGGTAAGTGTTTATTTTGCAAAATGTTGACTGATTTCCACAAGTATTGTATCTCCATGATTTATTGATGTTATTTGTGCAAATTTGTTTATTGCTTTATGTACATTCATTTCTTTCGGTTTGATCATTTTCCTTCATGCATTTGTTAGTTAACAGCGCTGATGAGGTTAAATAAAGTTATGAGGCACCAGTAGTGTTGATTATCAAGTTGTTCCACTGTGCATATTTCTGTATGTTAATATGTAGTTACAAAAAAATGATATACAAAAATGTCAATTACATTCACAAAAATTTGAAAGAAATTGTACAATCGGTCATGCAATTATTTTTTGTTTCCATAACATGCATCTTTAGACAAGTGTTAAGTAGGCTGCCCTACTGTACCTGTTTGACAGGTTAAGCTTGATTAAAACCAATTATGTCCACAAAAGCAGACATAAACCTTTTAGCATGTAAAACTACTGATTTTTAATGGAGCTAAAATATGAATTAGATTCTTCTTTGCCTGATGCCTAAACGTACAGAAGTATGTCCCAGCAATGCAGCCTGTCCAGATGAAGTCCCTCACCACGGCATGCAGGGGTTAGGACAGTCACGGATGTAAGACTCCAGTGTTCCCTTCGACACCTCCATAAGAGTAGTGTATGTGGTCAACTGTACAGCACAATAAAGGGAAGTGTTAACAAACAAGCCATAAAATGAAATATAAAACACTAACAGTAAAAGATGATGGACCTACTTTATTTAACACTGGCTTGGTGGACAGGACATCATAGACTGTCTTTATGGAGATATCCTGTAAGGATAAAAAAAAATAAATCTAGTTAGATTTTTAATAACAGTTTAGGTCTATGTTTGCGGTGTCAAAACTCACAGCTTGCGTGGTCTGATTCATGCATTTCATAGCAGGAGTTCTGCGGTCGTCCAGAAACAGAGGCTCTTTCCAGTGGTCATAGTTAGTCTCCAACACATACCACCTGCCATTCTTCACATCCAGCCTAAAATACACAGAAAGTGTAAACTGTAATCCTGACAACCTCAAACTTACACACGCTCTTTTAACTGTATGTGTAAAGAAAAGCAACGCTCACTCACTCCAGTGGATTGATGCTGTGTGTTCTGGATCTGGTGATAATGCAGGCTTGACCCGGCTGGTTTCCTCCGAGGATGAAGTACGCTGGAGCCAGCAGCTTCGTGTCAGACAACAGAGCCTTGGCACTTTCATAGCTAAAAGAAGACGATATCCAAATAATCATCATCTTTATGAACCCAAGAAACATCCATCTGATTCTTTTGGTTTGTATTTCAATATTTAATGTTTCAAAAAATACAAATAAAAAAATTACTTAATATATACTGTCTTGTCAAAAGTTAGGAATAATTAAGATTTTGACAACACTTTAAGGACCAAGCATGAATATTACTAGCGAACTGACTATTTATTGGTACTTAAAAAGCACATATTAATCCCTTATTCTGCATTACCAGGTTTAGGTCCCTAAATCCTACCCTTACTATTAATACGCAGCAAATCAGGAGTATATTGAGACAAAAGTTGTACTTAATAGTTAGTTAATAGTGAAAATAGGACCTTAAAATAAAGTGTGACCACATTTTTTTTTAAAGATGTCGTTCTCACCAAGGCTGCATTTATTTGAAAAACAGTAACATTGTGAAATGATAACAATTTAAAAGAACTATTTTCTATCTTAATATATTTTAAAATTATTCATGTGATGTCTGAATTTCTAGCAGCCATTACTTCAGTCTTCAGTGATCATTCAGAAATCATTCTAATATGCTAATTTTGGTGCAGAATTATTATAACTTATTATTAGCATTGAAAACCATTTTTGCTGCTTAACATTTTTGTAGAACCTGTAATACAATATTTCACAATATTATTGTTTTCCTGTATTTTTTTTATATCAAATAAACGCAACCCTGGTGAGCAGAAGAGATGTTTTCTTTTAAAAATATTTGTAAAAAATCATAATTATTCCAAACTTTTGACTATAAGTAACACTATACTTGATGCTTATATTAAACTATAAAGTGATTGTAAATGCAGAGTAATGCCTTACACTCTTTAATAAAAAGTAAAGTATTATAATACATATATATGTGGTTATAATTACTTATGAAAGCATAATGCATTAGATTGTGTATTATAATTCATTAAAATACATTTATAAAGCACTATAATGCAAAAATATATATTAATATATTTATCTATAGCCAACCTAGTTGCATTCTCCAGCACAGAACGAGTCAGAAAACTCATCCACATGCCGTCTCTCTTCCCCAAGATCCACTCCAGAATCCCTATAATTCACAATAAAACATTCGAACAAAAAAGATAAGATCTAACCAAATGAAATAAGTATTTGTAAAACCTGCAAATCCTCAAGATTCAAAGCGTCAACATATTTTTGCCAATTCCTTATATGACTCAGCAAATACCAGGCAAAGGCTTACCGATGTAGCCTCCGTCCAGACTGAATCGTTCATTCATAGTGAGGGTGAAGGAGTGCTACAAAGAACAACAAAAGACAGAGACACAGTGAGAAACAGAAGCAATGTGATTACTGACCAACAATCCATGCTTTCACAATTCTCTTTCCTGTTAAATTGCAGAAGTCAAACTAAAAACAATGTGAGAGACAAAAGGGCATTGTGAATCTTGTTTTATAATTCATTCTGGATTCAAATCTAATGAACTCAGGTCGCTCATACTGATGTGAGCTCTGTCCTTACCGGATGAATACCGGTCAGCATGCCCACGTATCCTGCAAAATTAGTGGATTTAAAGACGGTCTGGTTGTTGCGTCTGAAGTCAATGTTGACAACCAGTGGCTTCAGCTTCTCTGTGATGATCCATGACCTGTTCTTCAAATCCCAACTGTAAGCAGAAGAGACCACAGAACAATATGACATCTTCTAACATTCAATCAAAACATTCTCAATAATTGAGGAAGTGGGTTAACAACAATGCACTAATCTCACCCCATGAAAAGTCCAAAGTCCAGGTTCCTTGCATGGATGAGATTGCCTATAATAAAAACAAACTTTTTTTTTTTTTTGACTACCATTCAAAAGCTTAGAGTTGGTAAGATTTTTAAAGTCTCTTGTGCTCACCAAGACTGAATTTATTTAAAAATTACAGTATTACAATTATAATTATTATTACAATTCAAAATAACTGTTTTCTCTTTAAATGTTTTTATAATTATTATTACAATTCAAAATAACCGTTTTCTCTTTCAATATATTTTAAAATATAATTTGTTCCTGTGATGGCGAAGCTGAATTTTCAGCAGTCGTTACTCCAGTCTTCAGTGTCACATGATCCTGCAGAAATAATTCTAATATGCTGATTTGGTGTTTAAGAAGCGTTTCTTCTTATTATTATTTTTTTGTGATTCATTTTTTAAAGATTCTTTGATTAATAGAAAGTTCAAAAGAACAACATTTATTTGAAATATAATTTTTTTTAGCATTATAAAAGTTTTTACTGTCACTATTGATCAATTTAATGCATCCTTACTAAATAAAAGAACTCATTTCTAAAAAATATAAAATCTTACTGACCCCAAACTTTTGACTGGTACTGTATGTCATATAATGTGTATTTTATATTTTATAACACAGATTCAATTTATTAAATATTATTAAAAAAAATGAAAATAATGTTATCTATAGACGATATACTCACCATTGACATCCTCTGCAACCAGAGAAGTGCATACGGTGAACACCTCATAAAATACATTGAAGAGCACCACCTCACCTGAGAACAAGTAATTGTGATTATAAAAACAAACTTTTTTTTTTTTTTGACTACCATTCAAAAGCTTAGAGTTGGTAAGATTTTTAAAGTCTCTTGTGCTCACCAAGACTGAATTTATTTAAAAATTACAGTATTACAATTATAATTATTATTACAATTCAAAATAACCGTTTTCTCTTTCAATATATTTTAAAATATAATTTGTTCCTGTGATGGCGTCGTTACTCCAGTCTTCAGTGTCACATGATCCTGCAGAAATAATTCTAATATGCTGATTTGGTGTTTAAGAAGCGTTTCTTCTTATTATTATTTTTTTGTGATTCATTTTTTAAAGATTCTTTGATTAATAGAAAGTTCAAAAGAACAACATTTATTTGAAATATAATTTTTTTTAGCATTATAAAAGTTTTTACTGTCACTATTGATCAATTTAATGCATCCTTACTAAATAAAAGAACTCATTTCTAAAAAATATAAAATCTTACTGACCCCAAACTTTTGACTGGTACTGTATGTCATATAATGTGTATTTTATATTTTATAACACAGATTCAATTTATTAAATATTATTAAAAAAAATGAAAATAATGTTATCTATAGACGATATACTCACCATTGACATCCTCTGCAACCAGAGAAGTGCATACGGTGAACACCTCATAAAATACATTGAAGAGCACCACCTCACCTGAGAACAAGTAATTGTGATTTAAATATAGATTTTATTTAACAGCGTTAGGCATAATAGTATGGTTTTGATGCATTTCATACCCAAAGGAACACCAGACACTGATGCTATTCCTCTGATCTCCTCATTGAACGGGTACGGCAGGGTATCCACCATCAAGGGCTGGGGACAAACACATTATAGTCCTTTTAGCAAACACTGTTCTTACTTCTCAAATTATTATTGTAGTCAATGATCAGTGACAGCTACTGTATATGTCTGATATGAGGTTTAAGATTATTGTTTACTTAAAGGGATACTGCGCGACAGATCGCTTCCGCACATGCGTCTACTATCATAGATATGAATAGATGCCCTATTCGACTGCTCCAGATACGTTGACGCGTCTGCCATTTTGGAACGTATCGCAGCCCATAGAAACAGTCACTAATGAGGCATCTACTTATATATATCTACGTCTACTATACCAGAGCACGTACACGCGTCACTGCTGGATGTTGTGAACGCGCTCAGACATTGCGGTGGATCAGAGGTAAAAAATGATATAAATACTTTTCGGTTTCTGGCACAAACCGATCGTTTCGTGTCTTAAGACCTCAATGTATCGTCACGAGCCACAGGGTTTAATTTAGTTTTGTCTGTGTATGTTTTTTGACTCTCAAAGCCGTGGAGCCCATAGACTGCCATTATATGACTGACAGACTGCAACGGTTTGAGTTAAAAATCTTTGTTTGTGTTCTACTGAAGAAACAAAGTCACCTACATCTTTGATGCCCTGGGGGTAAGCAGATAAACATCAAATTTTCATTTTTGGGTGAACTATCCCTTTAAGTCAATCATGATTAAACATCATACAAAGTGATATGTTAGACAGATGAGATTCCTTAATAACTCACCAAGTCCTTGTCTACTAGATCAATAAGCTTTCCACTGGGAACAAATGCATCTGCTAGATCTCTGATAGCCTGAATCATGCTCACCATCTAAAGGCAAAGCACATGAGCTCTTGAGCAATGGGAACACATCAGCCCTTCTCAGATCATCTGGTTTTAGGTTTGTACTGTAGACTTCAAGGTTTTCAGTTAAATTTTGGTTTAAAGTTCACAACAAAGTTCACCAACACATCAATTAAAAGAGATAAGATCTAAAATCTAAGGCAACTAATAATCAAATGACATGCCAAAAACTGTACGTTTTGCTGTAAGTGCATTCATAGATAGAGCACTGAAACAGTGATGTATGAACTCACATCATTTTTTTTGTCTGTAATGATATCTGTCCATCTTTTGCTTGGTGGTAAATCCAGATTAACAGTATACCAGGCCACATCGCCTTTAAATCTAAAAGATACAGAGATTATACAGATTTTCTTATTCTCTCTCTTCAATGAGAATTACAAACTCGTAATTACATTTTAAATCGTTCATATTAAGAGAAAATCAGGATTTAAGTTGTAATATAATTGTTATATTGATGTTTCATATTTTGTGTTTGCATAACAAGGATACATATCCACCCTGTTGTAACAAAACTCGTGACTTTGTTTCACTTCTTTAAAACTAAAGGATACATTTTTTTCTTATTGACATCAAAGACAATAAGCTGTCAAAATAAAAACTTTTGGAAATGTTTAAAATTAATTGTATATATCCGTGTTACCGTTTGTATTTTCATATACACCTGTTGTACATGTAATTGTATACTTGCACTGATTTAAATTTTGGTCTCTGACAGCAGTTTTTACAGGTTGTATAATCCATAATTTCAGTTGTCATACTCACGTTGGGCCGTTTGGAGGATACATGCCACTTCTGCACTCTTCTGTGTACTGAAATATGAACATTAGTCATTTACCACATATTTACAGTAAACTGAACTTGTGGTGTTTACTTCGCAAATTTTCTCTATGCTAACAGCTCTGCTAATTAAGGTTACAAAACATAGTAATGGCGTATAAACACAAAAAGCCCTTGCAGACAAACTAAGCCCTGCTATTATTCTAAGTTATATATCTGATATGAGTCGATATGAGGATTGCCGTAAACAAACATTTGTTTTCATAAATATCAATGACAACTTTAGTTTGTCACTTACCGGTGGTACATATTGCGAAGACGAACACATAAACATAAAAGAGAGAATAAAACAGCAAAAGTATAATTTGGTGATCATGATGAGACAAGTGCAGTGCTCCTCAGAAGAGTCTGTGAACGCGGAAGTGCCGATGATTCTCGTGACGGTTCGAGACACTGGGGGAGTTTCCTAAACAATGAGTTACTAAATAAAAGATGACTTCACATTCTGTCTTTGGGTTTGTCCCTGTTTTGTTTGAATAAGCTGTAGCATAAGTCGGTCCTACATCACCTATTAAAAAAAAAAAAAAAAAAAAAAGCCTTGTAAGGAGAAATAATAACCGCAGAATAACAACGCCGTTTTATCTCTATCGATACAAACAGGATCGGTAAAATCCACTGTTAAACAAATAGGCGAATGTATTGCGCCATCTATCGGCTGTAGAAGGAAGTGCAACAACAAGGATATAGTTTAGTAGAGCTGAGATGAAGGTTAAACAGCTCTCCAATGACTGAGCAGTTTTAATACTGTCACTATTCAAGAGCTATTAAGTACACTTAAATTACACAAAGTGCCCAAATATGCACGCTTGTTTAAATGTAATCTTGGAGTGCTTATTCATTTTGAAAATTAGTTACAAAAAAAGTCTGTTTAACTAAGATGTTACATTTAACTATCTTAAGACTACAATAATAATTTCAAAATCAATATTCAGAGTTATTAACTGCAATAATGAATGTTCATTATTAAATATCCATTAGGTCTTCAAATGTGGCTTAACATTAACAATATTTTCATTTAAATATCAAATCCTACAAAAATCACACCACATCAACACTAAATGATTTCAGTCAGAAACATTAAGGACAACCACATTTTTCCACAAGTTATTCATTCTTTTCTTTGTATGTACCATGAAAAGTGGCTTATAATAAAGAAATTGATTAAACAACTGAGATTTGAGTTTTACAATCCATTTAATATGGGGAGTTCATCAAATTTACAATCCAATATTAAAGAAATGACTGTCATTTAACAGACTACTTAGAAGGAGTTATGGTTGATGAGCCTAACTGGATGGTGAAATTTTGATAAAGTGATGGGTTTGTTGAAACCACAAGCAGTTCTGTCTTAGCCAGGTTGAGTTGAAGGTGATGGTCCGTCATCCAACAAGAAATGTCTGTTAGACATATCTAATAACAATATAACTTATAGGCTATCTAAAAACAACAACAAAACAAAACATTTTCTTGTGAAAAGTGACTAGGTTTATTATAAAAAAAAAATGGCAGTGATTCCATGCCAATGTAAAATTTAATCGATGAAGAAGAAAAAAAAAACACTTCTGGATTCACTTGCAGTATCTGTCAGCCTTCATCTTGGCTCTCCTACAAAAAAAAGAATGATTTCTTATAAACATGATAATTCAATTCAATTCATGTTTATTTGTATAGCGCTTTTCAAGATACACATCGTTACGAAGCAGTTTCACAGAAAATTTGGTAAATTTGGTCTCACACTGTAAATGTTGAAATATTTGCATATTCACAATGTTTCAAACACCACCTTGTATGATAAATCATCCAATAGAGCATATCTACATACTCTAACACCTTTTCATCCATCTAAGGGTGATTAGTTAGTTAGGCTACAGTCATTTATTATTCAGTATGAGCACAGTTTGAGGTTTTCCTCCTGAAGTCAGAGGTCTTACCTGTCTAGCAGTGCCTCGTGGAATTTTCCATCTGTTCTGGCTGTTTTCAGCAAACTGCTGTCTTCCTCATTCACCCTCAGCTTCCGATCCTGGAAACTCTGGAACTTCTTCCTGTATGTAAATTGCAAACATTCACATAAACATTTACTTCGCTGAATGCTCAATAAACGGCACAGCTTCGGTATTTTACTGCAAGCACTCACACATAGTTGACCTCACAGTTCTTGACATCACCCCTGTCTTCATCTGCTATATCGTCTTTTCTCTTCACCTCTCTTTCTGTGCATGAACGGATCTGTGGAGGACAGATAAGCATGAAAAATAATGTCTATAGTCTTCATTCCAGAAAATAGTTCTAATTTGTAACTGTATAATTTGACAGCAAGTCTTGTGTTCAGATAAAATACAATGTATGCACTGCAGTGGCCAAATCTGAATCACTGAATTATTTCTCAAAACGTTGGTGAGCTTTAGGATTACATATAATGATGTCTAAAATAGCTGTGAATCATTCTGTCCTTCAGACAACAACAACAACAACAATCTTCCCCCTTAAGCAATTCATCTTGGTGTGGACTGCGAGTTTAGAGAGATTCACCTTGATTATCTCCTCCTCTCCAGCTGTCTTGTTTTTGGCCACTATGTCTCCACTCTCACTGTACGAGATGAAACAACTGTTTGCAGCAAGCAAGGCCATTTTACCCTACAGGAAACAAGTAGAAGAAATGGTAGAAACTGAATTCAAAACTTTCGGCCAAATGTACCAGAGTTATTCACATTTCCTATACAAAATGAAGTATTTTCATTGTGACTGGTGAATTGATTTGATTGACAGATTCACTCACATCCTGAAACACTGGTTCCCACTGCTCCCTGGAGCCGATGGCATCTGATCGAGCAACCACAACACCGTCTGAGTTTATACCAAAATACTTCCCGTAGCCTGACTTTAGTGCTATCCTACACACCAGCGAAAGGGATAAGAAAAATTAGTTACATGATCAATTTAACTTAATTAGTTATGAAATATTACAATTAATTTACAACTTTGGTTATGATCTTTACCTGGAGTCTGAGAGTCTGATGGCAGTAAACTGTTCTGGAGGATCTGGGCCTTCATCATCTGCAAACATAAAACATATGTATTTTTAAACTTGTATACACTACCATAAAAAAAACCTTTATTTTATTTAAAGTCATCTCCTATGCTCAAAAAGGCTACAGTTTTTTGATCATTTCAGTTAAAAGAGTAATTTTGTGAAAATGTCATTTATTCCTGTGATGGCAAAGCTGAATTAAAGTTTAATTAAATTAACTATAATTATTATAATTAAAAACTATAGCATTTATTTAAAATAGGAATCTTTTGTAAATAAATAAATCTTTTTGTAATCTTTTACAAATGTATTTACTGTAAATTATTGTAAAATATTGTCTTTAATGTCTTTTTTGATGAACTTAAATACATCCTTGCTGAATAAGAGCATTAATATATTTCAGTATGTAATTCTTAAACAAATCTTACTTGACGTCAAATGTTTAATAGTAGACTGTATTCACTGCATACAATTGCACTATTACAGGAGACGAATCTGTGACTGCCATTTCTATACCACAAAAGACGTCAGAGCTGGCACACATTTATAACTGAATAATTTCCATGTCATCATAATTTTCACAGCTGAACATATATAAGGACATGAAACAGCGATGGGAAATTCTGCTATAATAATATCAAATACAGAGAACAAAGAAAAGTTTTGTAGCTAAACTACGAGCCTTGCAGTATTTTAACAGTAGTTTGTTCTTCAACCATGAATGACTGAACAAAAGGAAGAGTAAACCTGAACGCTGATATTCTATTCTATCTGCTGTAGACATGATGAACTCGTGAATATTTTAAGATATTGAATTCTGCAAGAGCATTCAAGTGATATGCTCGAAGAGTTACAGAGCAGTGTGTGTGTCCATGTTTTTCCCTGGAGTGGTAATCATACAGATGCATTGGTCATGAAGTGGTGTCAATAGCGGTTTCAGTCATTCATTTAGTAATTTCAGGTCTCAACCGCTAAATTAAATTGATTTTAGAGAGCGTGCACAAATTTTATGGTGCTCCCAGAGTGATACAGAGGCCGATCCTTACAACCAGCGGTCAGTGTGAAGCAGAAAATAAGGCTGGAAAGAAAAACAATCGTAAACAACTCCTTCTGGTGATTGGACTATGAAATTGCTCTGTGCTTTGCATGAACGGCTACGGTAATAGCGACTGACGATCCATAACATTATTCAGGTTTTTAAATCCCACACTGAGAGCAAAAGAAAAACACCAGCACCTAGCCATCTCTACTTTTGAGAGACTTATTTGTTCCGCACTATTAGAGGGACCTTTTCAATTTAAAAGGCAATATAAAAGCTGCATGGCATGGCTGAAAAAAATACAATGCAGTATAATTGCAGAGAAAGATTTGCCTGTTGCCTGAAAATAATGCAAAGGGAGCTTGTAAAATGCATTTTAAAACATGGGCCTTTAAAATAAAACATTATATTTCCAATTAAGATTCTAGTTTTCAAATCATTTTAAATCTCACCACTATATAAATGCACTTGATCATGGGCCGCCCACAACCTTTGTAACTTCAAGGCCCACTACTGTGAAATTCAATATTATAAGGCCATCCTACACAGGCAATAATTTTTGTACCTCTTTACCTCTGCTCAAGTAACAATTTTTACATTTTTTTTTTTTTATTATTTAATAATGTTCCTTGAGGTCCACTTATTAGTAATTTCAGGTCTCAACCGCTAAATTAAATTGATTTTAGAGAGCGTGCACAAATTTTATGGTGCTCCCAGAGTGATACAGAGGCCGATCCTTACAACCAGCGGTCAGTGTGAAGCAGAAAATAAGGCTGGAAAGAAAAACAATCGTAAACAACTCCTTCTGGTGATTGGACTATGAAATTGCTCTGTGCTTTGCATGAACGGCTACGGTAATAGCGACTGACGATCCATAACATTATTCAGGTTTTTAAATCCCACACTGAGAGCAAAAGAAAAACACCAGCACCTAGCCATCTCTACTTTTGAGAGACTTATTTGTTCCGCACTATTAGAGGGACCTTTTCAATTTAAAAGGCAATATAAAAGCTGCATGGCATGGCTGAAAAAAATACAATGCAGTATAATTGCAGAGAAAGATTTGCCTGTTGCCTGAAAATAATGCAAAGGGAGCTTGTAAAATGCATTTTAAAACATGGGCCTTTAAAATAAAACATTATATTTCCAATTAAGATTCTAGTTTTCAAATCATTTTAAATCTCACCACTATATAAATGCACTTGATCATGGGCCGCCCACAACCTTTGTAACTTCAAGGCCCACTACTGTGAAATTCAATATTCTAAGGCCATCCTACACAGGCAATAATTTTTGTACCTCTTTACCTCTGCTCAAGTAACAATTTTTACATTTATTTATTTTTATTATTTAAATATGTTCCTTGAGGTCCACTTATAATGTTAGCAATAGTTATTTTTCATAATCATATATTCTCAACAACTAAAATCTTTCCTCATTTTGACCCTTTGTCTGAAATGCTCCATTTTAATGCTGCGTCTCTTTTAAGGCTCACCAGTAAACAGCCACCTATGATTGGCTAACGTCACTGCATTACATCAAAACAATTAGTACATTAAAATACAGTACAGTTACTTTGTAGAGGAAAGAATAGAGATACATGTTTATCAAAGGTGTTTCTGATGCCATAAAAGGCCTCCAGATACAGATTTTTTTGACCGTGGACACTTAAACTCACTACTAACTTGCACAACTAGCCTATAACTTTTTAAGGAAACATGAGTTTAAAACACTGAAGTGAGCACTCTTAAGAGTTAAGAAATATGATGTATACATGTTTTTAACTGATTTTGAATGTTAATTTGTGAAATTTGTTTTAACAACATAAACTGAGCTGCCTGCAGCCGCAAATTTCAGGAGTTTAGTGAGGTAAATAAAATCAGCACCTTTATGTGGAGCTCCTACAGTGAAGAGTCCAGTATCCATTGCATGAATGTAGGAGTTTTTGTGCATCTCAATGGCCACTGTTCCTGTGATCTCACCAAAACTCTTCACTGACCACCAGCCTCCTGATGAGACACATTCAGAAATACACACACTTCATGTAATGAATAATAGGCAGTACCAACAACAATATAGCTATTATGCAGATCATACAGCATTTACAAAAACTAATTCTGCGCTAGTCAATGAATCTATTTATCTATGAATGATATATTTTATAACTCCATGGGCAAAGTGACAATATATACCAACGATATCCATCTTATCTTCATCATCATCTCGTTTTCTCTTCTTGTCCTTGTTCTTGTTCTTTTTCTTCTTTCTGCACAATATGGAAGGTGCAGGTCATTTAATATTAACGCTAGCGTAAAACAATCTGATATTAACATAACTCTTTGCATACGCAGCTGCTTAACTTACATCAATTAGGACAGTAAGTTAATTAACGTAACTGTAAACATTAATGAGAAATGATACAACTTTGGTGGAACGCACATTCTATTATTTATCCCTCATGACATTTAAAATTGAAAATATTTTTATTTTTAAACCTAATAGCAGTTACCCTTGCTGGACCTGTTTTGTCCCATGTCTCAAGAATGACTGCTAGACGTTTTATGAATACTGTGAATTCGACACACTTTTTCACACACTTGAGTATAGTAGGAGGAAGGCATGCATATTCACTTGCTGCCTCAGTCGAGTGCACTTGACTTGACCTTCCATTTCCAGCGTGATGGATGAAGGAACTTTTTTTTTTCTTGACTCAGTATTTGATTGAACTGCCAAATGATGAGACATTTTACACAAAATTAAAAAGGTAACTAAACATCTGAAGGTAAATTTTCTACTTAGAAAAAAGTACATACTTTTCTTTAATGGACCATTTGTATCTCTTTGACATGCCTACACCATTAACCCCTATAAAAACAAAATTGGGGGTCAGATTTAAATCATGTATTGCACTGCATATTCTATACACATTTTATTGATCATCTGGTTAGTATAGTATAGTAGTCCAATATTTATTTTAAAATGTAATAATTACATTGCATTAAATGCCATAGCCAATTTATAGACTAATCACTACTTGGCGAGTTTTAATTTTGGATCCTGCATATGAGTAAGCTGCAGACATTTACATATGTGGGAATAACATTTTTTTTTTTTAAATACTGTTTTTACAAAATAGAATGTCTCCAAAAGCAGGTCTTGGGAGGTATTGTTCGATTTAGCTCAAATCTAGGTACACATTTGTCACATTTGTAAAAATACAGAATGTTTTTAGTTAGGGTTAGGGTGTAGTTTAAAGTCAGGTTATAGTATTTATAGCTAGCTTTGTATAGAATCAATAGAAGTCTATTGAATATGTGTGTGGGTGTGTGGTGTCAAGGTATTCTCCATGTGGACCAAATGTTCCCACAAGGATAGTAAAACCTGATTTTTATTTTTTTTGCAGGGACAACATTTCAGGCCCCTTGAGGAAAACAATTTATAAATCATAAGGTTTTTTTTTTTTTTCTGTAAAAATGCAGAAAGTGTTCAGTGAAGGTTGTGTTTAGGGGTAAGGTTATGGTTAGGAGATAGAATATACAGTTTGTAAAGTATAAAAATCATTATTTCTATGATGAGTCCTCATAAAACACATAAACCCAAGATGTGTGTGCAAGCTTATGTTGCTCCTACAATGGTTTTAAATCACAGGGTGTGTCAGAAAGGATAGGTCATTGCCAGATTGGTTATCAGACCGGAGGGAGGAGCCAAGGCAGTGTGTCTCCAGGCCCTTTTCTCTCCAGACACAGCGTCTGCCATGAGTGAGCCACCATTTAAACCAAAATAGCTCTGAACATTGCAAAGCCCTCTTATTTAAAACCTCAGCAGACCACTGTAATAACGAAACGCTGGAGTACAAACACACACAATGTGGAGTCTCTACTGTGTCAATCATTTCAATACATCCTTTTAAAGGGGTCATATGATGCTGCTAAAAAGAACATTATTTTGTGTATTTGGTGTAATGAAATGTGTTTATGTGGTTTAAGGTTCAAAAAACACATTATTGTCCACATACTGTACATTATTGTTTCTCCTCTATGCCCCGCCGTTCTGAAACGTGTCGATTTTTACAAAGCTCATCGGTCTAAAAAAGCGAGGTGTGCTGTGATTGGCCAGCTATCCAGTGCGTTGTGATTGGCCGAATACCTCAAGCGTGTGACGGAAGTGTTACGCCCCTTACCATATTGTGATGATGCCCTGTCAGCATCAGGCCGGAGCGATGATTCAAAAACATGAAAACCCATTATAAAAGAGGCATTCGTTGAATCCAGTGGGGACATAATTATGGATTATAATAACTTATACTGTCTTTTTACGCGTTGCGTTGCATCGCGCCGCGTAAACATAAAACCATGTCTGCATGTGTGAAAAATATCTCTTTGGATCTGAGACTTTAGTCTTTGCAACTTTACAAATCTTCTTTATGCACCAAGAGCTTGTAACACTCCAAAGAGAAAGGAAAATTTTAAATCGCATCATATGACCCCTTTAAAGGCCAATTAAATCAATCAGTTCAAATCAGTTACACAGGAGCGGCCCACCGAGGATCAAGCTCTGCTAATGACAATCATTAAAAGGTGGCCTGTTGAAGAACTGGTCAGAGCATGCAATAAATCATAGTGTGACACTGCCAGGAAGTAAAATAAACAAGACAGCTGCGTTTTGGGCAGACTTTAAATTCAAACAGGAGAATGAGTTGAACAGGGTGACTGGAGGAACAGCAAAGGCAGCTTGCATGTGGTTAGACTAGGCATAAAACATAATTGATTCCAGATATCCCAGACAGACACTGACACACACAGAGCACATTAACCTGCTAAAAATGGATGCCAACATTATTTTCCTTAAAAAATGGTGGCTTACATCAAAAGCTAAATATTATGCATATCAGTCGTATCAGATTATAATCTTCTGAAAGTATTGCAGTAGACACGCTTAATCGTAAGTGATAAGACTAAAGGAGCAGAACGGGCGGCTTTGGTGATGGGACTGTTTAATGAGATGTTTGTATCCATTTTCGGTGTCTTTCTCTTGTCCTTGTTGAAAGGCTTTTTGTCTCTATGTTCGGCCTGCCCCATTACCTCCATCTTTCAAGTGGAATAGAGAATTTATCATCCTTAGCAAGCATCAACGTGGTATCAGACACAAAGCAATTGGGGATGGCGAGGAGGAAGAGCGAGGGAAAGATGGCTTAATATATAGTCTAATGAGCTTAGTGTTTCATTTCCTCCCATGGTGCCAGTCATCAGTCAGGTGGTTGGCTATAGATAGCGATTGGTCTTACTTTCAAAGTAATATAGCTAAGCCATGATACAGTGCCAACAAGAACAGAATGGCTGACAGCATATCATTGGGAACAAGTATAAGCTTATAAACAAAAGATCATATGCTTCTGTAAGTCAGACCAACCCCTCATAGACTTTTTCCTTTCATTAAAATATTTAGTTAATATTTATATATTTTTAAATATGTACTATTTTAATGAATGTGTTTTTTAAATATAAAATATAAGATATTTTTTTCCAGTCTGATGGGTTTAAAAGCTCAGGATAGTCACTAGGTCATGATGTCATTTCCTTGCTGCTCCAGAATGATTAGTCACATGACATTTAGGCTCATGTGATTGGCTCAAAAACAACTTTGCCTATAACTGAGTGCCCATGAGCAAACATGGCAGATTTCATATCATATACTTCCAGGATTGGTGGGGTGTGTGATTGATGAACTTCATAGCTGAATGAGTTCAGATGAGCCAAACGCAATTAAACACACACATAAAAATGCCAATGTTAGTGAGGAAATGCATTTAATCATTGGCATGAATGTCTACTCTGAAGCCAGCTGTTATTTTTAGCCAGAATAATCAAGGAACTAAAATCACAAACTTTGCTGCTGTGATTTAGAAGCTGCTTCTAAATCACAACTAAAAACAAAAATTAAGATCAAAACGTGACATGTTTATGAGCCAGCACATGCTGCTTCTCGCTGTGCCTGGGGAAATAGTTAGGGACTGAGCCAAATTTAATTTGGTGACTGCAATGAATTTTGTAGAACAATGTGATTTGCAGAGATTTGAGGTAGCCTATGCTTCGTAACTTCACATATGTACCTTGCTTCTTTCTTTGTATGTCTCAATTTTTTCTGTTTATGGTGTGGCAGTGTACAGCAGCGTACTGTGGTTGCTTGTACTGTTAGTAAAATTCTCTGCAGACACAGGAGTGTTGAGAAGATAACGCCGCCCCCGTGAGGTATTACAAAGAAAATTGCTGTGCACAAGACGCCGTCAGGCTCTCTTACCGAAAACCTCCGATGGGAACTGTGCGTTCCGATATTTGACAGTGACTGACAGAGGAAATAAGGGGGAGGGGGAGTGCACACAGGGCCGGAGAATGCAGCTGCTAATGGGACCGCCGCAGCACCTCCGCGTTGCAGACAGTAAGTGATTTTTGGGCTGGCAGGCAGGAGCAGCTCGGTAGCTCAGGGTCTGTGTGTCTCTCTGCCGTTGTGTTAATGAGAAATGATTTGAGCTGGAGAAGAATGATTGACGGTGAAGAGCAGGTGGTCGACACAGAGGTGTGAGCTTACCATGTCCATCCACTTTTTGCTGTTTATAGATGTCAGATTCCCTCTCGTCCCCGTACACACTGGATACAGTCTTTTGAGGGTCTTGCATCAATGTGTGCATCGATTCAAGAGAGCCTTTCCTCCATGTAACCGAATCTCTAGAGTGCCACCTTCACCCTCAGGCTAAATCCAGGATATAATGTCACATTTTGTGAGGTTAACAAGTTGCCTCTCATGACGCTGACCCAGTGATTAAGCTGTGGGTTGAAGCCTTCAGGAGGTGAGCTATAGCTTTAGGTTTTGCTGACAAGTAATTTGACAAATAACTGCAGAGAAATGCACATTTGGGAGTTTAGTCAAGGCAGCTCCAATATAACACAATTTACAGCAGAATCTACAGTAAAGAAAAACATGCTTGCTTTGTTGAAATAAAGCCAGTTTGAGATCAGGTGTAGCAACAGAGTATGAAAAATGTACTCTTTGGCCAATGGGAAAGCCTCACCGGTTTGGGTTTTGGTAACAGAGCTGTTTGGACAATAGCTTCAGGCACAGGAAACTGGACTGAAAGGCGGTATATCGAAGACCTTTGAAAGAGTTTTCTCCTCTGTCATGGGTCTCTACCCTCAAACAGACTACAAGCTAGAGTCACTTTAGGGCTCAGCCAATTTCTCACTAAATGTGATTTGGAGGGGAAGAGATCGCAGCATGAATAACTAGCCGTGAAATTTCCCTCTCAACACTTCTGGAGGAGGTAACAGACCAGGTTTCTCCGGCCCCATCCTTTCTATTCTATTTTCCTTCTCTCTATGTATCCTTTTACAAGAGGATTTGTTCAGCCTTTCCTTCACAAACCATATACCTTCCAATATCTGCGAAATTTACGGTAAAAACATCAGCTGTTGTAGCCAGAACTTTACCATAAAAAATATGATAGCAACATTTTAGGTTGAATGTTAAAACTTCTTTTTAAGTTTTACGGATTAAATTTACAGTACAATAAAGTATATTTCATTAAGTGATATCATGTTAATATACCAACTGACTGAAATAATAAAATCTATTTTGTACCTTTATAATACACTGACAAAAAATGAATAAAAAATAATAATAAAACAAAACTTTTGGAAATGTCTTTAAAAAGGTATTAATCAAACATTGGTGGGAGAATATCCTTGATTGGGTGATATGACCTTGATTGCAAAAAATTGCTAAAATCTCCACTGTGAATATGCACAATTTTCTTTTTAAGTTTTACGGATTAAATTTACAGTACAATAAAGTATATTTCATTAAGTGATATCATGTTAATATACCAACTGACTGAAATACTAAAATCTATTTTGTACCTTTATAATACACTGACAAAAAATGAAACAATGAAGAAGCGATATCACATGTATCTCTTACACACGCTGAGGTAAATAATACAGTATATAGAAGTATGTTCCCACAGTCACGCACACAAATATACCATCATGGTAACACATATGATACTTAAAAATGCAATAAACAACATAATATGTAAAGTAAAACCCTAATGTACATAAGTGGTAAGAAACAAAAACAGAGGAAATGGTTATTTTAATGAAAAACCACTGAACGTGAAGTTTCACAGTTCACACAGAGAATTGACTGTTTTTCACTGTAAATTTTAAGATGACTTGTTCACTTCCAAAAACTGTAAATTTAACAGTATTTTATGGTGAAATGTCCCATTAGATGTATTATAGTTTTTCACCCTATAAGGAAACTTACCTTTAGGCAATGAACAGGTTTTTACAGTCTCTTGGCATTGAAATTACAATGATTTTTACATTGTACCTTCTCATAAGTTTCATTTCAGCTGTGACTGCAACATAAACAAAACATCTTCCATCTAATGCAGCCTATGGTGGTCGGTAAAGTCAGACAGAATAGAAAATCCAAACATTTATTGGGTGGGGTGGTACACAAATCATGAAATCATGGTAATCAAATAATGAATCCCCATCCCAAAATGCAGGGTAGAGTTAATAAATGTTGAATTATGCATTCAGACTCTTTTTAGAGGTTAAAGTACCACAAGTCTCCTTATAATTACAAGTTATCAACAGTGACCAAACCCATCATTTTAGCGATCCACAAAAATGCACTCACTCATAAACTGCTCTATTTATCATTGACTGTTTCCCTCTCTCTTGCACACACATGCAGACTTACAAGACATTTTCAACACACACACAACATCTGTTAAAGCATATCTGTCATTAACATAGTGAGAGAGTTGCTGAATAAGTCACAAGTTAGACTGACAGATTCCACTTTCCTTCCAAGTGTCATTACCACGTTTAGTTGTAAAAAACATACACACCAAAACAAACACACATTACACAAGTATATCACAAACACCTAATCGTGTGTGTGATAGATGTTAACTCTATTTCTGTGATACTTCTGAACGGTTTTTATTAGTTTTTAAACATCTATAAGCATAACATATAAATTATATTACAAATAGACAAATAAGTAGGAAATAATGTATATTACGTTCATACATGTGCATATAAAAAAATGTAAAAAGCAACTTGCAAGAACATAGCAATAAAGTTGTGAATGTTTACATGTCGGCTAACATCCTTGAATACCGAGTTATGGTCTTCTTACAGGCTACAAGAGATATCTTACATAGATATCGATCATTTAGGTACTATGCCTTTAATATTTCCAAGAAGCAAAGAAATGAAGGTTCTAGGGATTTTATACCCAAACACTTCAGACATAGTCACCTGCACATCAACACAGAAAAACTACATTTTCTCAATAAAATATAATATATAATAAAGCAATTAATATAATATAAAATAATAATAATAAAAAATAGTAATAAAAGAAAACTTTTAGAAATGTCTTTAAAAAGGTATTAATCAAACATTGGTGGGTGGAAGAATATCCTTGATTGGGTGATATGACCTTGATTGCAAAAAAATCTCCACTGTGAATATGCACAATTTTCTGTGGAGCTGAAATTATGTGATGCAGTTTAGGCTATTTGGAACTATATGTGCGTGCAACTGAATGAATGAATGATAGATAGATAAAAGTTTAACTAGAAATGAATGGACATTAGGAATTCTCTAATCAGACAACTCTTACAGTGATCAATGCAGTGATTGCCTTCTGAGGGCATGCAGCTCAAATATGAGTTTTTCCCCCCTGCAATATCCCCAACACATGCATTTGATCTTTCTCAGACAATTTCAGAAAACGAGAAACGAGCTTTGAAAGTTTCTCAAAGTATTTCACTCAATGAAATTTATGGCAGTGAAGGAGAAAGCTTACCTCAGTCTCCTCTCAAGTTTCACACTGAGACTCCTTCTTCTTTGGGAAGCTATGTATATCTAACTTTGTCTCTCTGTACTAGTTCTGGTAGTGACAGAGCAAAGCACACATTCAGTCAGAGCACAGCTCTCATTTGTGTCATCAAGCACATGAGAGTTCGCATCATAACTCACATCTGTCTTTTTGCCTATAGCATTCAATCTCTGCGGAGTAAATCTCAGTGAGTCTGTAGGGGGCAGTATGTGCTTGCACTTGGCATTAACGGAGCACTCGATTATCTGGTTATGCACTGGGATTTGCAACACTGCAATATTGAGCAATACTACATCCATGTGCCATCTTGCACATCATTGATATATGTCCCACTCTTCGATCATTAATCTTATATGATGACTACTACATAGCAGATTGTTTTTTTATGATTATCTTGGGTAGTCACACAATAAATAGTATTAAACAGTATATTCAACCTCACCTTCAGCCATTTGTCACACTTAACAGCCATAACTAAATTCAGCAAATCTTCAGATATGAAACTGTGATGAAATCTGCTACCTAAACCCCCTAAAAGAAAGAAAGAAAGAAAAGGTTTCATGGTTCTGTTGTTGGAGGCATGACAAATTACATGTAGTATTGTTTATCTGAATGCAGCTTATCTCTTCATGCCTTTCAGCAGTTAGTTGGGAAATAAGGTGTTGGAAAGACCTGAAATGGTCAAAGTACAATATCAAGGTTTTTTAAGGTACTGCTAGTGCCCTAGTTATTGAATACCCAGGTGATACGGAAGCAGCGATTTGCATAGGTAAAAAAATCCAGAGGTTGAGAGGGTTTTGGAGGAGGTTGCTGAGTTCAGCTGCAGTGCTTTGTTGTACTAATGCAGTTCCTTGTTTATTTCAGTACATCATGCTAACAAAACACTTTTGGAGTGCTTTTGATGTACTTGAATAATACGAGAACCATGCAATGCAAAACTCTTCATAACAATAAATACTCCAATGAATTCTGAATAAAAACAGTGCTGATAGCCTATGACCCATTTCTTAAAGGCACAGTTCCAACAAAAAAAATTAAAATGTGTCATCATTTAATCACGGAAACCATTCTTCACCAAACAGGAAATGTTCTTAGAACTTAGCTGACATCTGCCAAGGTTCTCTCAAAATTATGAAAAAAAAAAAAAAAAAACCATCTAGTAACATTAACAGAATGTTGGTAGCACTTTATTTTACAGTCCTGTTACTCATGTACATACAGTACTATGTACTTATTATACTAATTACAATATCTAGGTAATAACTAGGTACTAATCTTGAACCTATCCCTAAACCTAACCCTACCCTATGTAGTTACCTATATTACCAGTACTTTCTTAGGTTGGTACACTGCAAGTACACTGTAAGTACATGTAAGTGCACGTACTGTAAAATAAAGTGCAACCAGAATGCCCTTTTAAAAATAAAGGTTCATAGAAGAACCTTTTTTTGTCTAAATGGTTCTAAAAGAACCTTTAACATCTGAAAAAAACTTTCTGTTTCACAAAAGGTTCTTTGTGGCGAAAGAAGGTTCTTCAGATTACAAAAAGCTAAGAAAGAGATGGTTCTTTAAAGAACCTTTGACTGAATGTTTCTTTGTGGAACCAAAAATGGTTCTTCTATGGCATCGCTGTGAAGAACCTTTTAAGCACCTTTATTTTTAAGAGTGTGTTTATGCAAAGTTATCTAGTCTTTAATGATGTTCTCAAAACGTTAGCACAAAAACATTATAGTATAAACATTTAAAAAAACTGGATGT